ATCTTCAGACACAGCAGTGTCCACTGTGCAAGATTCCAGTTCTATTCCCCAAACTCAGTTTACTATCTCTGCTACCTCAGAACTTCCTGAGACCACAGCTGAGATGAGCACCCTCTCCAACACTGGAGATACCAGAGGTTCCACAGCTGGACAGAGTTCTGCAAAGACAACAGAGATGGACACACACACAGCTTCCTCCTGGGCCCAGGCACTGACCGACAGCAGCACAACAGAAGAGCCCAGCTCAGCCCTGGATACGACTGCAGGCCTCTCTGATGCCACCACCAGTTCCTCCCCTGAGCCCTCCAGTGCAGGCTTCTCTGCTCCAATGCATCCTCCCAGCCTCACTCCAGCCACAGTCTCAACTCAGACACCCACAGATTCCAGTTCTGTCCTGCAAACCAAGCTTACTATGTCTGGCACCTCAGAACTTCCTAAGACCCCAGGAGAGGACAGAATGTCCTCCCCCACTGAGATCACCAGAGATTCCACAGAAATACCAACATCCTCTCAGACAAGAGAGATGGTCACCCAGACAGCTTCCTCCTGGACCACAGAACTGACCCACACCAGCACTCCTGAGGAGCTCAGTTTAAACAGAGACACCACTGCTGGCCTCTCTGATGCCACCACCAGCTCCTCCCCTGAACAATCCACTATAGGCTTCTTCTCCTCTTCTCCAACGACCCCTCCTGGCCTCTCTCCATCCTCAGTCTCCTCTCACACACCCACTGCAAAGGAAATCACCACTGTGTCTTCCTCTTCTTACAAGAAAACTTCTACAGAAATCACCAGCACTGACCAAAGTCAAACTCTTGCAGCTGCATCCCACAGCACCCGTGACTGGGACATGTCAGCCACAGCCTCAGCCCCCAGCACCCTCCCCACTACATCCCAGACCCTGCCCCACTCACACACCACCCTGCAATCAACCTCATCCCCTGAAGTCCTGTCCTCCACACCAACTCCACCTGTACCTCATATAAGCTCCACAGGGTCTCTGACACCTCCTGGACCCAGAGTGTCACCTTCTCCTGCTCCTTCCTCCCCTGCATCCATCACCACACTCCTCACCTCCACTCTCCAGGACACCACAAATGAGATGGACCCGGGATCAACACCTGTGAGCACCCTGACTCCAAGTCAGACTACAAATGGACAGCACATCTCAGCCACCTCCTGGGTCTCCTCAGGCCTCCACACAAGTCCAACATCTTCAGACACAGCAGTGTCCACTGTGCAAGATTCCAGTTCTATTCCCCAAACTCAGTTTACTATCTCTGCTCCCTCAGAATTTGCTGAGACCACAGCTGAGATGAGTACCCCCTCCACCACTGGAGACACCAGAGGTTCCACACCTGCACACAGTTCTGCAAAGACAACGGAGATGGACACACAGACAGCTTCCTCCCGGACCCAGGCACTGACCTATACCAGCACAACAGAGGAGCTCAGCTCAGCCCTGGACACCACTGCGGGCATCTCTGAGGACACCACCAGCTCCTCCCCTAAGCTCTCCAGTGCAGGCTTCTTCTCCTCTACTCCAAGGCTTCCTCCTAGCCTCGCTCCATCCACAGCCTCACCTCAGACATCCACAGATTCCAGTTCTGCCTCCCGTTCCAAGCTTACTATGTCTGGCACCTCAGAACTTCCTGAGACCCCAGCAGAGGACAGAACGCCCTCCCCCGCTGAGATCACCAGAGATTCCACACAAATACCAACATCCTCTCAGACAAGAGAGATGGTCACCCAGACAGCTTCCTCCTGGACCACCGCACTGACCCACACCAGCACTTCTGAGGAGCCCAGCTCAGTCATGGACACCACTGCTGGCATCTATGATGCCACTACCAGCTCCTCTCCTGAGCTCTCCACTGAAGGCTTCTCCTCTGCTCCAAGGCTCTCTCCCACTTTCGCGCCATCCACCGTCTCTGATCACACACCTACTGGAAGGGAAAACAGCCTGATCAGCCTCTCTTCATACACGACAGCACCTACAGAAATTACCAGCACTGTCCAAAATCAAGGTCTTGTGTCTGCATCCCACAGCAACCAAACCCAGGACTCGTCATCCATGGCCCCAGCCCCCAGCACCCTCCCCACTGCATCCCAGACTCCTCCCCATTCACACCGCACCCTGCAATCAAGCTCATCCCCTGAAGTCCTGTCCTCCACACAAACTCCAGCTGGGCCACAGCTGAGCTCCATAGGGGTCCTGACATCTAGCAAACCCACAGCCTCACTTTCTGCTCATTCCTCTGCTCCATCCATCACCCCACTCCTCACCTCCACTCTCCACGACACCACCGAGCAGATGGACACAGGATCAACACCTGTGAGTAATTTGACTTCAACTCAGACTACAAGTGGACAGGATATCTCAGCTACCTCCTGGGTCTCCTCAGGCCTCCACACAAGTCCAACATCTTCAGACACAGCAGTGTCCACTGTGGAACATTCCACTTCTATCCCCCAAACTCACTTTACTATCTCTGCTACTTCAGAATCTCCTGAAACCACACCTGAGATGAGGACTTCTTCCACCACTGGGGACACCAGAGGTACCACACCTGGACAGAGTTCTGCAAAGACAACAGAGATGGACACGCAGACAGATTTCTCCCAGACCCAGACACTGTCCCACAGCAGCACGCCAGCACAGCCCAGCTCAGCCCTGGACACCACTGCGGGCCTTTCTGATACCACCACAAGTTTCTCCCCTGAGCTCCCCAGTTCAGGCTTCTTCTCTTCTACTCCATTGCTCCCTCTCAGCCTTGCACCATCCATAGCCTTACCTCAGACACCCACGGACTTCAGTTCTGTCCCCCAAACTATGCTTACTATGTCTACCTCTTCAGGAATTCCTGAGACCCCAGCAGAGGAGAGAACACCCTCCACCTCTGAGGTCACCAGAGTTTCCACACAAATACCAACATCCTCTCAGACAACGGAGATATCCAAGACAACCTCCTCATCCACACTAGAACTGATCCACAGCATCACTCCTGCACAGCCCAGCTCAGCCCTAGACACCACTGCCGGCCACTCTGATGCCGCTACCAGCTCCTCCTCTGAGCATTTCAGGGCAGACTTCTCTGTTCCAACACTCTCTGCCAGCCTCGCCCCATACACAGACTCAGCTCAGAGAACCACCAGCGTGAAGATCACCAGCGTGCCCTCCTCTCCTTACAAGACAGCTTCTGCAGAAATCACCAACACTGTCCACACACAGAATTCTGCAGCTGCATCCCACAGCTCGAGTCCCTGGGACATGTTAGCTACGGCCCCAGCCACCAGCACCCTCCCCACTGCATCCCAGACCCTGCCCCACTCATACACCACCCTGCAATCAAGCTCAACACCTGAAGTCCGGTCCTCCACACCAACTCCAGATGGGCCACATCTGAGCTCCACAGGGGTCCTGACACCTAGCAAACCCACAGCCTCACTTTCTGCTCCTTCCTCTGCTCCATCCATCACCCCACTCCTCACCTCCACTCTCCATGACACCACCGAGCAGATGGACACAGGATCAACACCTGTGAGTAATTTGACT